TAGTGACTGTTCGAAGTTACGACACTGAAAAAAGTGACTTATGACAGTTTTTCACACAGCCATTGCATATGGTCATGTGATCATAGTTCAGACACTTGGATATATATGATGGTTGTAGTGTCCCAGGGTCATGTGATTACTTTTTGTGACCTGACAAACAAAGTTAATGGGGAAGCCATATTCACTTAAATCTGTTACTAACTTAACAATTGTAGTGATTCACTTAACATCTGGGCAAGAAATGTTGTGAAATGGGGCAAATTCATTTAACAACTGTCTCGCTTAGCAACAGAAATGTTGGTGGTCATAAATTGAGGACTACGTATACTCTTTTTATCCAGAATCTGAAACAGCCAGACTGCTTAGCTTTTCTGTGACTAAATTTATTGTTTTTAATATATTAAATATTATTTGGGTTCATCCATGTTTTGATTTGATTTATGTGTGGTATGCATCCCCTTATTATATTTTATTTAATAATGCACAGATAAACTATACAATGCAATATGTGGAATCAGTTACTGTATTGTGCTGAAAAGGAGCAAGCAATGAGGCAAAGGTTAAGGATCTAAGATACCAGGGACCGGTTCTGCAGAGAAAGTTTTTTCCACAGATCGGAGAGTGTGTGGTTTTGTGTGCTGCCTGCATCCCACAGATGGGGCTTTGCTTGTTTGTGTGGACCGGTTGCTGGCATGCCATGGCCCGGTATCGGTCCACGGACTGGGGGTTGGGGACCTCTGATCTAAGAGATTAAAAAATTGGAGATACAGAAATAGTGAATGAAGGATCTGAATGGAAAAGTTTCATTGTCCACACACAATTCATCACAATAAGATGTAAAATAAATGGAATAAATCATTCCATAATTTACTTTGGAGCAGGGATAAGTAGACTTTAGTTTTATAGAACCTAATTTATTAATAGAGAGAATCCTGAGGTCCTTCAACCAGAGTTAGGGACAAAATAGTGAAGTTATAATGATTCACCTGAGGAATTTGTTTTATGTATGGGCTTGAGGTTCACACACAACTTTTTTCACACAAAAATGTATTCCCATTTTCTTGATTTCAGCAGCTGGACTCAACAACAAAAAACTTTTTTGGTAATTGTTATTATATTAGTTGAAATTAATAATTAACAGTCACATGTTGAGATGGGCAGCCCTACAAATCGAATGAATGAATGCATGAATAAATAAAATAAAACACTTTCTCATCTACTGAAAATGACCCAGCTTCTGCTTATCTTTGGTCTAAAGGTTGCTGTCTTGACTTGACTGCATAAGAACATACCTGCTGGAAGCATACTTTTTGATATATGTCCGGTCTCCTAAATCTGACCATATGTGGCCCCCAGGTTCTCTTTTACAATTTCTAGGTACTGTCAAAAGTGGATGGAACCAAAACATTTTGGCTCATCTTTTTATATTTTAGGAATTTGGGAAAGTTAAGGGGCACAATTGGTTTTCTAAGCTTTATAGAGACTAAAACACTCTTTCCATCCTTTAAATCCTTCTCCGCACTTCTTCTAAATTGATTGTTGTGCAATCCACTTTGGAGAAAACGGTCCTAGATAGTCTAGGTAGCCTTCAAAAGTTGCACGCTTGACTGTAAACTAAGATTTACAGGATTTAATGTTATTCAGGAATGAAGGAATGGCACTTGTAAGTTGGCCAGAGATATTTAATTGTCTGCTGTTTAAAGTTAATAGAAACACAGTGTTCTATATTTCTTACGAGTGCTATCTGACCCAAGTTGGAAAATTTCAAATTTGATTCTAAACATAAATGTAAACCAATCTATCGGTGTAAACATGGCATTTTGCAATAGAATTGGCTTATACACAGAACAGTTAAGTTTATTTTATTTTTTATTTTTTATTATTATTTTTCACCATACACCATACACCAAAACAAACTTAAAATACATAAACATAAATCTTTTCTTTTAATAGAACATTATTATACATTTTAAGCATTCTTTACATCTTATTTACATTTTATGTACATCGATAATTATGTCTTTATTCTTTCTCTGTTCTAGCCAATTATAACATTTATTCCAAATTTCATAAAATTCTGTCGCCTCCTTGTCTTTTAATTCTAACATAAGTTTGTTCATTTCTGCGCATTCCAAGATTTTGTACATAATCATATCATTTGTGGGTATATTTTCACTCTTCCAACATTGAGCATATGCTATACGAGCTGCAGTCAATATATGTATAATGATGTGTTGGAGTTGTTTTTCCATCTTTAAATTTATTATGCCCAAAAGAAATAATTCTGGTTTAAAGTCCATTTGTATCTCAGTTATCTCCTGTATCCAATCTCTTATTCATTCCCAATAATTTTTTGCTTTGGGGCACAACCACCACATATGATAAAATGTTCCTTCTCTGATTTTATATTTCCAACACTTCTAGTCTATGTTTTTATACATTTTGGCCAATCTCGCCGGTGTTAAATGCCATCTGTAAATCATTTTATATTGATTCTCTCTGTATGCAGTTGATAGCGTCAATTTGCAATTTATGTTCCATAATCTTTCCCATTCCTCTAAATTTATATTTCGCCCCACATTTCGTGCCCACGCTATCATTGGCCCCTTCACTATTTCTTCCTCTAACTCAGTGGTTCTCAACGTTTGTGTGACGGTGACCCCCGTCACACAAACGTTCTGCGCATGCGCGGTGCCGCGTGCATGGGGGCGGGGCCACGCATGTGTGAGCTGCCCCCATGCGCGGTGCGCATGCGCGGTGCCGCCCCCTGAGGGGAGAAAATGGCGGATCGCCTTCTTTGGCGACCCCCCAAAAATGGTTGATCGACCCCAAATGGGGTCGCGACCCATAGGTTGAGAACCGCTGCTCTATCTCTAATAAGTATTTATAAATTTTTGATAATAGTTTTCCTTCCTTACTTATTATAATTTTATGAAGTTGATGTGGGGTCTGACTAATTCCATGTTCTTGCCTATCCCTATTATATCTAGATTGAATTTGTAAATACGGCCACCAATCTATGGATATTCTTTGTTCCTCCAACTCTTCTCTTGACTTGAGATTTCCTCGGTTATCCAGTAATTCTTTATACCTAATCATCTTTTTTTTCTCTAATATATTGGGATGAATCACTGCCTCCATCGGCGAAAACCAATTTGGAATTTTCCCATAGTGTCTTTTTTTTATTTTTTCCCATATCCCGATCAATGCTCCTCTTATCTGATGTTGCTGGAAGTATATGGATGTTTTCTTCTGTTTCCCCCATAGAAATGCATGCCAAGCTGCCTGTAGGTCATGTCCTTCAATCATTAGTATCCTTTCATTATCCAAGTTTATCCAGGCTTTGATCCATAATAACCCTGCTGCATAATAATAGATTTCCCATTCAGGGAGTTCAAGACCACCTCCACTCTTACTATCTTGTAACATTTTCATATTTATCCTAGCTTTTTTGCCCGCCCAAATAAATTTATTTATTATTTTATCCAATTCTTTAAAAAAAAATTCTCTAATTTTATTGGAATTGTTTGAAATAAATACAATAATCTTGGTAGTATATTCATTTTAGTCAATGCGATTCTGCCTAATAATGATAATTGGAGATTCCCCCAAGTCTCAAGATCTTGTTTCATTTTTAGTATCAATTTTGTATAATTGTCTTCTTTTATTGAGGAACACCTTGAGGTTATCCAAATTCCTAAATATTTGATCTTTTTTGCTACTTGTAATTCCAAATTCTCTTCCAATTTCCTTTTTTGTTTATCAGTTAAATTTTTTGCTAACATTTTAGTCTTTTCTCTGTTAATTTTTAATCCTGCCACTATTCCAAATTTTTCTATTTCACCCATAAGAATATTTCTTCTCTCTATAGCAGTGCTTCTCAAATAGTGGGGAGGGCCCCCCAGGGGGGGCGCGAGGCTCCGTAAAGGGGGGCTCGTTTGACCTCGGCAAATACTGTCATATTGGACGCATATGACACACGCAAAGGACCCGATTGGATAGACAGTCGCGCGGGGGGGGCGCGAAATGTTTTTTTCTTCCTAGGGGGGCATGACAGAAAATAATTGAGAAGCACTGCTCTATAGGTTCCTCAATAAAGAAAACCAGGTCATCAGCAAATGCCTGTAACTTATACTCCTCTGCTTTGACCTGTACCCCTTTTATTTCGGATGTGAGGGCGATCATGCTGTGACATCTGTCACCCCATTGATCACCAGGGTTGATTCGGCTGATCTGGCTGATTAGGCGGGTGTCCCCTTCCTCCCTCACCGCTTCATGCGTGTCCCACCCGAAGCTACACGCTTGGTGGAAGAGGACGACCATCCCAGATAGAAGGAGTGTACCGATCTTTGGTTAAGGGTATACGATAGCTGCGCTCCCCTGCTAGAACCTCCAAACGAGAATAGTTAAGTTTAAATGATGCATATATTAATCAGCTGTTAGATAAAAAGGACATCATGGAGGCAGTATTCCTAAATGCACTAATATGTTTAGTAAAAGAAAAAGGAAATTGTGCTAATGGAGATTTTAAATATTTAAAAACATATCTGATGTAACACAACATAAGAGTAGGACAAGAAACAACACAATTTTAAATTCTGGGAATGTAGGTTCTGTTTGTTTTAGTGCAATATGAAAACTTTGGGTTTTAATGTCCAGTGGGTCCTTTTGTAATAGAATCTAGGCCTAATCTGTTTTTTTCTTGCTTGCTCCTCTTATTCTAGTTGTAAAAATAAATTGCCCATATACATTAGTTGGAGGATTTGTTATGTTCTTATCAAGTGGAAAAAATGATTATTCGTGCATAATTCTACATCTCAAAATAAGGTATTGAAACATCTATCACAGCTAGAAGCTGATTGGCTTAAGCAAGGATTTGTGTGATCTGTGATATTACTTGATTCCAAAGAACCAGCAATGTTTCTGGTAGATGGAACTGTGCTGGAAATCAAGCTGAGGAGAATCTGTTTAAGGTCATCAGGAAGAAGTAGCCAGGGGACTAACCAGAGACCCACTGATGATGTATATATGATATGCAAGGGCTTTTTTTGTCATAGAACACCCAGAACGGAGTTCTAGCATCTTTTTTGGATGGAACCTTGTAAGGGAGGCAAGGCAGGTTGTATGATATGTGTGAGTTCCGGCACTTTTTTTTTTTTTTTTTACAAAAAAAGCACTGTATGCAATTTACAATCCTGAGAGATGCAAAATCCTTTAATTGGTTTGCCAAATAACATAGAAGCAAGGAAAACCAACATCTTACGTAATTCAAATGATTTTTCCTCGCACTCTGACTGGACGGCTAATTTCCATAATGCGAGGAGAAGGATCGTATTTGAGAGCAGCCTTGGAAACTTTGTACGGGTCGTGCTCTTCAAAAATATAGACCCGGGGTCTGGAGAGTTCTTCTAATTTTTCTGCTGTAGGAACAGGACGACGTTTTTTATGGGGTTCTGCAAGAATAAACCCAAGCAAGTGTTAAAGCAGTGGTTCTCAACCTGTGGGTCAGGACCCCATTTGGGGTCAAACAACTATTTCACAGGGGTCGCCAAACAATGCAGTCCACCATTTTTTTCCCCTTTTCCTTGGCTGTGCTACTCCCTTTTATTCTATTGGCTTTTGAAAGCCAATAGAATAGACTCTTTTGAATAGAGTCTAAATTCTATTGGCTTTCAAAAGCCAATAGGAATTGTCCAGGCTGTCTCTGCCCTGCTGAGCCCGCCAAAAGTCCCATTCTGCAAACGGTGCTGCACCAGTTGAGTAGTCCTCGACTTACGACCGGTTGAGTAGTCCTCAACTTACAACCGGTTGGGGGTCGCGGCATTAAAAAGGTTGAGAACCACTGTGTTAAAGGCTAGACTGATCACGATCAATGTTATTAAAAAAAAAATACAAAGATAAACTAACACAATGCAAAATCCCCCAGTGGTCAAGATTTCAAATAATTCAGTGGCTTTAAGGAATTGACTTTATAAATGCAGCTTTTCTCTCATTAGGTACCTCAGATGCTAGAAAGAACCGGATCCAAGGGTTGACGTTGCTGTCCAGCAGTTTAGCAAAGAAAGGCAACTCAGCAGTTTTCGTCCACCTCATTATATAGATTGCAAGTCAAGAAGACTTTTTTTTTTTTTTGCACGTATGCTCACGTGTGAGTCAGGCACCAAAAAAAGTAAGTACGTCTTAATATTTAAAGTCCTTTTGTTAAGCAACAAGTGTTTAATATATAGGATGCTTTTTGGCTACTGGATCTCAACATTATGAGATGAATTAATAATACCAAGGTTGCAATCAAAATTTCAGAAATTGTAATACACTGAAGGGTATACATAATACCAAGGAAGCAGAATGAGAGAGCAAATTATTATAATAATTGAAAGTGAACGTAAGGAAGAATGCTGAAATGGGAGAAATTTTGGTTATTGAATCTATAATGTTTGGAAATTATAATGAAAATAAGAATATTATATTGTATTACTAATCTGTTGATATAGAAGTGAGATAGATATGTATCCAGAACACTAGATGTTGGGGGGAATTGTGACAAAGGGAATTGGGGTCATATAAAAATTTGGAAATGATAAATATTAAACGTTTACTTTAAACATCAACGCAAAATTAAAGCTGGGAAATTTCATAAGGTTATTGATGGTCCAAAAGATGGAATGTTAAAATAAATAAGACATATAAAATTATTGATAAATGTAAGAAAGCTATTAAGTAGCTGATGGATAGAATAAGAAGTATACTAATTTAAACAAGAGACAGTATGTATTACGGGAAAAAAGAGAGGAAATATTGGCTGTAATAGTTGGAGATTTGTATTAATAATACTTGATGTAATGGAATTATTGTAACTCACACACCACGTTGCTTTTCAAAGATATAATTGTAATATTGGAAAATTAATAAAAAGTTTTTTTAAAAAATACCAAGGTTGCAATCAAAATTTCAGAAATTGTAATACACTGAGGGGTATACGTGATACCAAGGAAGCAGAATGAGAAGCAAATTATTATAATAGTCTTATTGAATCTGTAGCAAATTATCCTGATACTAGTGATTTTGTTAAGGATGCAGTCAGCCATGCATCTTCCAGGATACCTTCATTCTGATCCCTGCCCCACCCCAACTGCTTGCTGCAGCACTGTTCTATGGATCTTCCCACTGCTATGTTAACATGTTCATTCATCCTTGAAATCATCAAAAAATGTACTAGTAGGAAATTTACTATCCCTAGCCAGCCTCTCTCACCTCTGTTTCGGGTCACTGCATTTACAAATGGGGAAAGTCCTTATGTCCACGGAAAGTGGACCTTTTGAGTTTAATCACTGGACCCCCTCTGGAAGACAGACTAATATTATATCAGAGCCCACAATGAGAGAATCCTCAGCTTAAAGTCATATGCTGTAGGTTGTGGATATAATGACAAGAACTGAAAATTTTCAAAACCAAGCTGGAAGTTATTCTTTACAAATTTTGCAGTGAGAATGTTAGAAGAATTATTTCTTATACTGGCATGTGTTTAACCTCATCTTGGCTTGGATCAAGCTATTTTATATCAAGTTTTTATTTATTTAGTACTTTGCAATCAATTGAATTGACAGATTGCAATGTATATGATACAATTGCAATAAAACAACGACAAAGAATACATAAATGATTATTTCAGGTAGCATTAAAAATTACAGTGAAAAAAATTACAGCTCATCTCAAGTTACCATAAGCAAGCACTCTGTGGTCAGCAGATTTCAGAATGTAAACACTATGGGACAAGTTAGGACAGGGGTTCTCAACCTTGGCAACTTTAAGACTTGTGGACTTCAATTCCCAGAATTCCTCAGCCAGCAAAGATTTGCTGGCTGAGGAATTCTGGGAATTGAAGTCCACAAGTCTTAAAGTTGCCAAGGTTGAGAACCCCTGAGTTAGGAAGACTGTTCCACAACATAATGGTGATTGCTGACAGACAAACCCTTGCAAATCTTAACCCTCCACAACAGTGGGTCTCAAGCAGTTGTTCTGACATGCATGTTTCAGATGAGTCAGTTATAACGTGAGTAGCCAAGCTATGTAGGGCTTTGTAAAGCCAAACATTTTGAATTGCACCCAGAAGGAAATAGGTTAGCTCGGGGCCTGAAGCATCAGTGCAACAAGCTTATGGCGATGAACACTGCCCCCCAAATATTCTACTGCATTCTGACATGAAATTTCTGGGTGGTTATCAAAGGCAACCCTGTATGTACAGAGTGAAGTGCAGTGGCACTTAGTGATGAAAGAATGAATCACTGTCTCCAGGGTGTCCTGTTTCAGTCCACAGCTAGTGGACCAGCTACCTGGGCAAAGGCCCTCTGCACACAGCCTCCATCTGAAGCTCTACAGCATAGCAGTAGCTTTGAGACTCAAGTTGCAATCTGTTCCTCTGGGATTGTACCATCCAGTCCATAGGCAATTCCAGAGATATCAGAGACCTTTGCTGTACAAACCAGGTCTACTTCAGTGTATTTCATCCTAACCAGACCTAGACAGCCTCTAGAACTGAATCAAGACATTGACAGCATTTCTTGCGCTATTTAGGGTTGTTGTTGTTAGTTGCAAAGTCGTGTCCGACCCATCGCGACCCCATGGACGACGTTCTTCTAGGCCTTCCTGTCTTCTACCATCTTCTGGAGTCCATTTAAGCTCACGCCTTCTGCTTCAGTGACTCCATCCAGCCACCTCGTTCTCTGTCGTTCCCTTCTTCTCTTTCCCTCAATTTTTCCCAGCATGAGGCTCTTCTCCAGTGAGTCCTTCCTTCTCATTAGGTGGCCAAAATACTTGAGTTTCAACTTCAGGATCTGGCCTTCTAAAGACCAGTCAGGGTTGATCTCCTCTAGGATTGACCGGTTTGATCGGTAGTAATGTTCAATCTATATTCTGATGACACCGTACTCTGAATCACACCCAAAGTTTGACTTTCCTCAGCAGTTTCATGTAAGGTGCCTTATTTCCATCAAGATCCTAACAAAGACTATGAACAAGAGCAATCAGTGCTGTCTCTGTCCTATACACTGGCCTACGCCTTCTGAAAAGGATGCAGATTATCTGATTTCTCTGAAGGTGCTTCTAGAAGGCAAAACCATATCCAACAAGGTTGAACGTTTGGTCCCTTACGTGTGTTGGTTTGAGATTACCTGGGCCACTTTCATGGCTACTGTGGAATCCATAAATTCCTCAGTTCTTCCTCAAGAGATTGGTGTCACCCAACAATAAAAAAAGGGCTGCAAAACCAGCTCAGAGACTAAGCTGAGCAACCCAGAAAGGGATCCTGCCAGGTACATAATAGGATGGAAGGTACGCCAAGAGGATCCCCAGATTGCCCATTGTAATATATGGGCATTTATATCTTGTTCTTTGAGGAGCAGAATCCACGATCTCAGGTGAAGTGTTTTTAAAGACCAACATCATAATTTCTCCCTGGTTTTTAGGCCTTGAAAGACTCAAAACCAAGGAGGACAGATTTCTGGAAATATATAATCTCTACTTACAGATCTGGATATCCGCCCACTGCTAAACCGTAGATGATTGAGGTTTTACTAGATATGGACTTGGTGTTCACCATTAGCATCTTAAAGTAACCCAACTGGAAATGGAGATTAACATCAGATTTTTAGTCCTTCTGTAATGGCCACAATAACCTGCAACATTCCCCTTGACCTCTGCCAACCTCCTTAATTACATGATAAGAATTTCCCAACATACTAAGCAATTTGGTGCAGCCAATTCCATTTCCCATTTCTCAGAAAGCCCTGAGATTCCCAAGTACTCATCCTAATCTCAACACCTTCAGAGGCTTAATCTTGAGCTATCCCACCTGTTCCTCAACTGGCCTGCCTTACGGTAACGGCAACTGCTATGTCCTGGCACTCTTCTGTTACTGCAACTCAGCCAGTCAGTGAAGATCTTTTGGGATCCTCTGTTGTAATTGTACCACGCAGATAGAACTAAACTGTTAAAGAAGAGGATTTGTTAGCAGTGATCCGTTCTAGTAGCCAACTACTTTCTTCCTCCTAGCTCCTTCCTTCCTCCTAGGGCAGGGGTAGGCAACTTTGGCTCTTTTATGACTCGTGGACTTCAACTCCCAGAATTCCTGAGCCAACCATGCTGAGGGAAAAGGGAGAGGTTTCCAAGCTGAGCCATGCTGGCTCAGGAATTCTGGGAGTTGAAGTCCACGAGTCATAAAAGAGCCAAGGTTGCCTACCCCTGTCCTAGGGTATGAGGTGCTGAGTAACTGGATCTGAAAATGGTTCTTTCTTGAGGGTTTTTGCCAGATATTTTGATGGAGAAGATAATGTGGCTTTTCCTGAAGAGATCTACTGGTAGCTGTGTCGGACAATGTTCCACCTTCTCCTTTTAGGGAAGGTGTTGTGTCCGGAGCCTGCAAAAGCAGGCTCGGGACATTGCAATGGTCCCGGGCTGTTGCAAGCTGCCTGGGACCAGACTGAGTGGTGCCAGCCTGCGCACATGCGCAAGGCGCGAAAGCGTGTCATTCTTTGTTACCTTTTTGCCCGGGGATTCTATTTAGAGGCAGAGAGGCCTACGAGCCTCTGAGTTGTGTCGGAGAGAGCTGAAGAGAATAAAAGCTGTTATAACCATCAGAATGTGTGCTCTTCTTTCGCCATTGACTCAAGGACTCAACAGAAGGTTATTGAGAAGTTAATGGGCTTTCAGTCAGAACTGAAAAAGCTTCTTGGGTGAGAAGCAAAAGGACTTCAAGCCAAATCCAGAAAGTCCGGTGGCCTTTTGAGAAAGCACCTTTGGAATAACCATGACCTGCACGACTGAGAACCAATGTAGACTCCTAAATTGGCGGCATTCTATATCCTCAACAATAGTGTCCTTCTAAGTGCTTCAAAATGTTAAGATCGAAAGTGCCGTTCTGCAATTATTCTACTTTTCTCTAAGTGGGTGATGCCAATCAGTTTTGGGGAAGAAGATGGATTGGCCTGATTGATATTCCCAGTGGTGGACCAAGGTCTACTTACCTCTGTTTTATAACTCAATTTAGGATACAATATCATTAGTATGCTGATAAGGACCAGATGAATATCTATAGCCTGGGTTAAGCCAAAGATGCTGTAGAATTCTTGATTCAGTGCCCAGAGGCTGTGAGGGTCTGAATAGGACAATGCAAAA